CGGCCCCTTCCCTACATGAACCCTCATGGATTCAGGGGCAGCAGCTGCATGAGTGGGAGCCGTGGGAGAATGGGGGGAGGGAGGGTCCTCAGCTGTGCTCTGTAGAAAGACAAGGGCAGCAGAGCCAAGATGTGCGGAGCAGAGCCGGCCCTCCCGTCTCCCTTCTCCTGCAGGTGGGGGATGGAAGCATCTGTCTGGGCAAGGGGACGCAGTGGCCCCTCCACCTGCCTCCTCCCCCGCTCCTTCCCCACTCACTGCAGAGGCCGCTCCTTCGACACTTGGCTTGAGGCTTTTTCTTGGTGCTTCTTCCTGAACTCTCCTCGCCCTCCCCTCATTCCTGCCCAGCACCCAAGGAGATTGTGCCACCGGCCATGGCAACGTAGACGCCCCCCAGCCTGAATCTCACAGCGGGCGGCGAGGGCTGCTGGGTGGAGGGGCCAGTGCAGGGGCAGAGAGGGCAGCAGCCAGTCAGTGCACACAGTGCCTGCCCTGGGGTCAGGTCAGTTGTCCTCATCTGTGCAAGCCACAGTGAGGCAGGCCAGCCGGGAGCTCGGAGCTGGGAGCCAGGTGCCCCCGTCTGCAGGTTCTTATCCTCTCTCCACTCCCAAGGGCCCCCTCAGTGTCCAGGCCACCCTCTTCTCCCCCACACACCCCTCCCCTAGATCCATTCTCTACATGGTGGCTGGGTCCACATCCCTCCACCCTGGGCTTTCCATCACCCAGCCCCACACCCTCCGCCTGGCCCCGTTCCCTGGCCCCAGCTTCACTGGCCTTCTCTTAGAAGCAGGAAAACACCCAGCTCTGGGCCTCTGGCAGCCTGGGCCTCCACAGAGCTCCCACGTGAGAGCTCTCCCACCCCCAACTCCAAGGCTGCTGGGCTCTGAAGAGGCCTGGCCCGGCTTGCCCCACCCTGCCCCCAGGGCAGAGAAATCCTTCAGGATGTATCAGGAGCTAGGGCTATGCATCTGACCATGAGAGGTTCTGAAAGTCCAGGTCCCTGTACCCTACCCAGGTGGCATTATTTAAAGTAATCTCCAACCTTAAAACCAGGTCACACAGGCACAGAATGGAAGAAGCTTGGGTGACAGAGGTTCAGAATGGA